ACAAATAATCTAATTGAACAAAATAATAATTAGTAAACCCAATTAAACTAAATAAGACACACATAAAATAAGACACACACAGAATAATTAAACCAATTACACTTAAACCATTAATGCCAATTAAATAATTAAAACACTAACAAGTAATTCCAATCAAATAACTAAAAATAAATATCATTTAAATAAATTAAATCACCACAAAAAAAATAATTAAGCACCTAATAAAAAAAATAATGACACATAATCAAATAAAATCACTTAAATAATAAATTAAATACCATTAAATACCAGGAATATCCTTTTTAAAATTAGGGGTATTAGAGGTGGCCTTATATTTTTAAGGTAATTTGGACACTCTTCAGTTGTGCGATTTTCCCATAAATAATGAATTTATTTCCTTTTATATTGAAATCAAATAAAGCAAGGGGTTTGTTCCCTTTTATATTGAAATCAAATAAAGGATTTGTTCCTTTTTATATTGAAATCAAATCAAATTTGAATTTGAATTAATTTGAATTTAATCGCACTTTTCTTTAAAAGTCTGAACCTTTAGGATTTTGACACGTGCCCATTGATGGGACTCGTATTTGTGGATTTAATTAATCAAGAAATATTTGACTTCTTGATTGATCCGACGGTAATTAGACCATCACAAATTTTGGGTGTCTACAGTCCCTTACCTTTTTTTACTTTATTATTTTATTACTTGTGTATACTGGGTTAATTAATTGACTTGTTCACCCCTTTAGGTTATATTACCTTCAGCAAGCGCCATTTTCAATATATACTTGCGTTCCATGAACTCTTCAAATAATTGATATTATGATGTGTGTACATTGGATCACTAGTGCCTCCTATCATTATGAACAACCTTAGAACTATATACTCATAAAAGTAATTTAACCCAAATAACCTTCCAAAGCTAGTATGATATTCAATTTATTTTTATTATTATTTTTTGAGGAGTGATTCATAAAAATAATAAAATAAAATAAAAACCGGAGTGGATCGATCTAATAGTGCACATAATAGACAAAGGAGAGATGAGAAACCAGAGAGGATACAAATCCCCTATTCAAATGCTTTAGAAATATATACTCAGAAAAGTAATTTACCTCCAAAAAATGCTTCCAAGGCCAGTGAGCCAAATACTAGCACCCTCACGTGAATTCCTAGCTTTGTCACTTACTGCATATATTTATAGAATAGTCTTGAAATTTTGTAATAATATTTATATTTTCAAAAATTTATTCTCAATGACCTTTCAACAATATATTATTGGTCTATTTTTGAGTTGATCTAAGTTGTAATATTTTTTTTTGGGTAAAGTGCAAAAAATCCCCCTGAACTATTGGGGTTTTGCAAATAACCCCTGGACCTATAAGAAATCTCCTTGAATTATGATTTTTTTACAAAAAATTCCCTAAATTATTGATTTGTTGCATTTCGGTAGGTGGCTTGGTCGAAAATATTAAAAGATAAATTTACCCTTAGTTAAAACTACGTTGTTTTGAAAGTTATAATTGATGTGGCAGTTGATAATTTCATAAACCAATAAAAATATGACACCCTTTTTTTACCCTCATACCCAAACACATCATAATAGACCCAAACACCTCCATTGCTTTCAGCTCTCTATCGGCCCTCAAATAGAGCAAATCGGCGGCGCTGATGATGGTGACAAAGTGGCGGAGAACGTTACGATGCTTGAACTTCAGGACTGGGGTTGGGACACCATCAAGGTTCTTGGAAACGTCGGCCGCATCAATGGAAACACCTCTATTTTCAAAAGCCCCAAAATCAATCATTTTATTTTTAGAAGCCCCAAAATCAGTAACTCCTCAGTTCTTCATCTTCTATTCACCCCACCACCCCTAAATCGACTTATTGCAAAATCCCTAATGAGACAAACCCAATCAGAGCATTATCAAGCAAATCATCCTCGTCGTTGCCGGGATCTCTCTGCCGTCGTCTCCTGCACTTGCCCTGCCACCGTCTCTTGCGCTGACGTACTCGTCGGTGTTGGTATGATATATATATATATATATATATATATATATATATATATATATATATATACGTGTATATATATGTCTGTGTGTATGTCCAATTCCTCTTCGATCAAGCACGTTACACCGGTGGCGGCACCAGAGGATATATGAGTGTGTTTGTGTGTGTGTATTATATGTGTGAGGTGGCGGTAACGGTAGTGGCGAAAGTGGGGTGGTGGTAGTGGTTGATGATAGTGGGTGATGGTGGTGGCGGGATTGGGTATTGGTAGTGGGTTTGTGTCCTGGTTCGATTGGGTTTGATGGTGTGCCGTTGAGATGCCGATGGAGGTGGTAGTGATGGTGGTGGGTTCGATTTGGCTTAACGGTGTGTTTGGGCATGAATTGTTTAAGTTTCGTTGTTCATTGGTTCACGTTGAAGGCGACGTTGAGGTGACGACTCTACAACCGCCGGCCTTATTTCCGGAAGTTAATATCATAGGATTTAAAGGATAGATGTACAATTTCTCAATTGAGTAGTTTAATTACTCAATTTCCCTATTCCTTTTTTGTCTTCTTGAAACAAAGCAGACCCATTTTCTTTTGGAAAGGTTACGGCTTCATTTGGGAGGAGATTATAAGGGTATAGCAGGTGGTTTGGCTCTCTTTTTCCTCAGAGACCGTAGTGTTCAAATCATTGAGAGTTCAAATTTCCACAATACCTGTATCAAATTGCTGGGGGAAGCAAATTTTTTTTTTGAAATTTTTTCCATTGTCCGAGCAATCTATACAACAACATGAGCGATATATATATATATATATATATATATATATATATATATATATATACAGACAGAGGAAGGGAAAGAAGAAACAGAGCTATGTTCAGATCGTTAGTCAGATTTTTTTTTTTTTTTTTTTTTTTTTTTTTTTTTTTCAGGCAACGCTGGGAAGAAGATCAACAGTATAAGGGTGTGTTTGGGGTTTATAAAAAGGGGTATGGATTTAATAGTTACAAGGGGCATTAGTGTCTTTTCATGGTCATGAGGGCATTATGGTCATTAAAAATATAGTATGTGTCACGTGACCATCATGTGATCACTTTAACGGCAAGATCCAACCGGAACAGTGACAGATGAGTTATTTACAACTTTTTTCCATAGTTAGGAGCTTTTTTGCATTTTTTGAAGTTTTGGAGGTTAGTTGCAGATTTTCTCATAGTTCAGAGGAGTTTTTTACTCTTTTCTCATTTTTTTAAAGAGTTTACAAGAAAGTTGCGTCAATTCGATTTTCCTTTTATACCCCTATAGTGATGGCATTTTTAAAGTTATTCCTTCCAATCTTGACATTCAGGAGAAATTTCAAATTTTAATAATAATAATAAATAAAATCAAAAATCAATCTTTATAACACAAAGCTAGTTTATAACAAACCATAAATGTAGTAGTCCTATTGATTTCGCATGAACATAATATAATATTGATTTAGCATGCAGTACGCCAGTACCATTGATTTGCCCTTGTACCATAGAGCATAAATATAATATTGATTTATAAAAAAAAATTAATATTTGCACACAAATCAGAAAAGCTTTCGTATCATAATAGATATTATTATAAATAAAAAGATGATTTTTGTAACTCCAATATATTTTGTATGCATATACTATATAACATCATAAAAATGAAAGATTATGCATGTCCAATTTGAATTGATCTCAATTGATCCTCCGTTACTGTTCAAAGTAGAAGTAATATGTAGCGATGACAGGATTTCCACACCCTTCAATTGGTCTATAGTGTCATTGTAGACATTCGAATATAAAGATTGTTTGGAACAATGTGAACATCTTTTTAACTATTGGCTCTAAAATTTATTATTTTCAAAACTGGATGTTTAATGTATCAAATGAAACGGGGTGGATATTTGGAGGAGATGGCGTCAGTTGTGGGTAGATTATGTCAATAAAACCCTTCACGCATAGCCAGATTGTGCAGATTGTATTAGACCACAATGAAAAGAATATCCATAAAATTAGATTTTAACACAAGGTTATGTTAATACGGAATTTCATGTGAAAAAAGTGCATCTAGCTGTGGAAAGAAAATTTGGCAAAAATAGAGTATTCAACAATTTTGTGGAATTTCATTTCGAAACCAAGTTCGGTTGTTGCGGCACTTTTCCATTTACTTCTATTGCCAACGACATCATTTATGATTAAATGCTGAACTCTAAAAATTTAAAAAGAAATATAAAAAAATATTTATTTTTAAATTATCACTTATAAACTTAAGACTTAAAATTCATTTTTCAAAATTTTGAGTACTTATTAATCTTCATTTTTATTTAAACATCAAAATTATATATATATATTAAAATTATAAGATAAATTTAGAAAAGTTATTGAGTACAACAAGGTAGAGTTACTAAATACCCCCAATCAAAACATCTGTAATTGAGAACCCATTTGAGATTGCTTCTCTACTATTTGTTTTTATTTTGAATAATTAAGTTTAGATGTTTTTTATAACTATTAAAATCACTTTTAATAATTATCAAATTTAGTTTAGCTGAGTTTTTTTAAATGAAGTTTAGAATTTGAAACTTTTAAAAGTGCATTATAAATAAAGGTTGAATATTTTAAGTAACTTTTTTTCAATAAACAATTTTATTCTTCTATTTTTATTTATTTTTTATTTTTATTTTTATAAAGACAATTACACTCCTCCTTACTCAAACATCTATTATCAAATATGATAAATTTCTATTAAAGAATATTATTACAAAATTAACAATATAATAATTTTAAAAAGTATTATTACCAAATAATTTAATGATAAAAACTACTTATTATAATGACCTTTCAATAAGTATTTTTTTTATTATAAAAAATACTTATTGTATTATATATTTTCGTAAATTTCATATTTGTGTATTTCATTTTTTTCAGTAATGACGTTTCCAATATATATATATATATATATAAACCGACTAGAAGTGCTTTCACTTGTTTGATACCAGCCGCAGGCGCATAGCATCAGCGATTTGCCTTCAACCGGCGTCGCCTCGCGCCACTTTCGTTTGGTACTTGTTCTTCATCCACATTATACACACACAAAAACATAGATACTTGCATATATATCTAGATTTTATGTTCCGAATATGCGAAGATTGGATGTATTAATTGTGATTATTTATTTATTAGGTTAAGGTTAGGTCTGTATGTTCATAGTTGATTCGAGCAGGGTGTTGCGAATGAAGTGAAACGCGAAAAAAATTGAAAATTTTATTTTAATTCAGATTAATCTTTTGCTTAGGCACTCGTAGTTGAGGTTTATGTATCTGTATGTTTATAGTTGATTCGAGTAAGGTGTTGCGAATGAAGTGAAACGCGAAAAAAAATTGAAAATTTTATTTTAATTCAGATTAATCTTTTGCTTAGGCACACTTAGTTGAGGTTTATGTATCTTGTTTTTTTGTTTTTTTGTTTTTTTCGTTTTTTTTTTTTCAGCGCAGAGCATTAGCTATAGAGTATGTAGTTGGCTGTAACATATTTGCTCGTGATTATGGGATCCCATATTTTTATTTATTTATTAGTATTTCCCATTAATTTTTTTTATTTATTTGGTTTACATGCTCGTGGTATTTCCCTTTTTTTTTTTTTTTTTTTTTTTTTCCTCTATTATTTATCTTCATTATCTTGGATTCCAGTAGTATTCTCAATATGACGATCAATGAACTCGAAGAACAAGTTACCGCCCTTGCTACTAAGATAGACGCGATGATGCGTGATAATCAAGCTAGTTTTCAGCAAATTCACCCAATGTTGCAGCCTCTAACAGATAGGCAAGCAGCACAATCCATTCCTGATGACGGCGACCATGATCCGTAAGTTGGTCCGATTATTCAAGGTTGAACTCTCTGAATTGATTTTCCACACAGTATATTCATGGCTCATTCAGACAAGGTATTGGGAATGAAGTAAGTCAAACCGTGTTGAAAATTTAATGTTAATTCAGATTAATTGTTGCTTATGCACACTTCAATTGAGGAAGGCTGCTTTGCTTAATTTAATTATTTTTAAAATAAAAAATAAAAAATTCCAGCTTAGAACATTAGTTATGGAGTTTGTAGTTGGCTATAGAAATTTGCGATCCCATAGTTTTTATTTATTTATTTTTTAGTATTTCCCATGTAAATATTAGATTTATTTGGTTTACATGCTTCTGATTTGTGTGGTATTGTGTTTCTCATTAATTGTTATTTGTTGCATCAGCAAAATGATTTCCAGAAACAATTCCTGCTTCTTCCAAGTTGCGACTTGGTTCATTAAGAAATTTACTTTGCAACAACTCACTGTCATTAATGGTTACAGTATGAAAAACACTTCCTGTTACAAGGATGAAAAATCTTGCATGTAAGTTCAAGTATGAGAAATCTTATAAGGAAAGGGAAGAACATTAGTTTGTCTTCTTTACCTTTATCCAAACAAGAATATATGTTATTGCTATCCTTTCCTTTCCTTCCTTCATAACTTATCCAAACACGAGAAAATGATTCAGCTATCGTTCATGCCATCCTTCCTTATCCCAAGTGTTCTACTGACAATGTTTTTTTTAGGGGCACAGATTGGAGATTGGGGAAATGCCTCTCCGCAATGATGTGCTTCACACAGATGAATTGTATTCTGAAGATGAGTTTTCTGAAGAAGAATACCCTGAAGAAGAGTATTTTGAAGAAAGTCAACTGGATTTGTCTGGATGGTCATGGCTGCCCTAGAGAGGGAGACTCCGTTATCATCATCAAATAAGTTCAGGTTTTTATTTTTTTGTGCTGTGAAAGGTGATGACACACCTAATAATTATAGCTTCAACTGGTACTCTATTGACTTCAGGGAGGACCGAAATTCTTCTTCATTAGCTTCTACCGTATGTCCTCGTCCAGATTGTGGGACCATCCTGTCTTCTGTTTTCAGTAATATGCCGCGTAACGTTCCCAGATATTTCGTTTCAGTAGCCTTAGGCACCCGAATTTACCTAATTGGTGGTCGTACCGGTCAAGGCAGGAAAGCATCTATCCATTCTGATGTGTTCTATTTTGATGTTGTTCATCCCGAACAAGGTTGGAAGGAAGGCCCTTCCATGATAATGGCCCGATTTAAGCCGTCTGCTGTCGTGCTTGACAGTAAGATTTATGTCTTTGGTGGCGTGGAATCTACTGGGATGCTGTATGCAGAGGTTCTCAATCCCGTCTCAGATAAATGGGAACCATTGCCTCAACCTACTTTCTTGCTGTCCAATTTTGTAGCTCCTGTTCATGCACTTCTCTCAGACGATAAAAAAGAGAGGCGCCTTCTGTTTCAACCTTTTGATCGAGATGCTCTATTCTCTTACAATCTGGACACTGGATCTTGGGAGATATTCGACGAATGCTTTGGCCGTAACTGTTATAATGAAACATCAGTAGCTGTGGATGGTGTGCTCTACTGCTACTTTTATCCTAATGTCTACGCCTATGACTTGTTGAAGCAGAAATGGTTCTCAAAGCCAGTCAGGGGTCTTCCTAGGGAGGATATGCACCCCCCCTATCACTACACTGTTTTTTTTATTTCATATAGGTGGTGATAGACTCTGCTTATTTTGGTCTAAGAATTCTCCTGACGGCCGCCCCCTGGTGGTTGCTGTTTGCACTATATTCACAGTTCTGAAAGATTGCACTCTCCACAGTGAAGAGCCTGACTTAACAGCTAATATTGAGTCTGTGACTCGCCATTATGGTGATGGCCATGACTGCAAATATGGCATTGCTCTATAGGTATATTTCTCATAGACCTTCATGCACCATCCAAATGAACCTTATATTCGTTTTTTAATGCTTTTGGCTGCCATTTGATGTTCTTTGTTTGTGTGTCTGATATGTGTAACTGGAATCCCAATAGCTGCTATCAGCATTGATTCTATCAGATTTAATTTTAGCCTGCGTTGTAGTAGATTTGTTTAGAATGAGCTTTCTTGAATAATCATAGTGATCTTAGAGGATATTCATTTTTGGGTACATGCTGTTTTGTATTTGGCCAATGGTCAATTTACAATGTGTTTAAGTTCTTTATTGGCTTTTCTACTACCTGTGATATTCTATTTTAGTTATTTTTTAATTAATTCAATCTTCCCCTTTAGTTTTTCCCCAATCTCGTATTCAGAGAGGAGATAACTTTGATATTTTAAAATAATGATCTTGTTATTATTCATTAATTTGTGGCAATATCTTATTTTTTTATTAGTAAATTTCACCTTAGTTGCCAAATAAAAGGGCTTTATTTATGTTCATAGGCACTATACAACTATGCAAAAGGCGTCCTCTGCCCATCTTCCACCCCTTTTCTCAGTCATCATCCTCTTTTGACAATGAACATATAAACTTCTATCTAATGCTTGACCTAAGCATTCATGAAAACTTTAGTAGGGAACAAATTTTGTTCCCGACGTACAATTCAGATGATGATGGTAAACTGTCTCCTATACCTTTTACATCAAGAACTTTAGCTGCCATTCTATAATTTTTGCACTTCATATTGTCAGTAGATTGTATGATATTCCAGGGGAAGTTAGGTCTCGTCCTTGAAATAGCAATTCACAATGATCTGATATCGAAACTCCTTCCTTTGAAATCTTCCGTCTTATAGAGTCCACCTCTGCTTGTACTTGATCCATCATAGCATCTCTAACAAGAGTGTCGTCTTCCTCTTCATAATTAATTTTATCAGCTGTTGAATCTTTAAATTGAATTTCTGTTTTATCATGAGCAGTTCCCCTATATTGTCAGTATGTTGATTGTTTCTAGTATTTTCAGCATGTCAATTACGTTAATTACTTCCTTTCGTCATATGTAACAAAAAATTCTTGTCTTTTGTTCTGTTTATGAATAAGCATTATAGTTGAAGCATCATCTCTACTTATCAAATTATATATATATATATATTTAAAGCATCTCTCCGTTTTATTGCTTCCTCTTGTTTCTTAATGGGGTCAATCGCAGAATTGTTTTTATTTCAGTCCTTTCCAAGCCAGATCATTCTATTGTTGTTTTGTGTGAATTGAATTATCAATAATAACCTCAGTTAAATGACTTCATTATGTTTGTTTTTACAATCTATCAACCAATAAAATTCGGTTATATTTACCTGTTTAATTTGTTCTTCTTCTACATTCAAATTCCTCTAATTTTAGCTTCCGGAGAGCTTTCATCTCATAGTATATCCCTAGAAAGTGTATTTCCCCCACTTCCCCATCCCCTTCTTTTCGTCTCCTTCCATCTGCAGCCACTTTAACTGCCGTCCACAACAGCCTCTCTCTACCATACAATCACCTTCGCTGGACAGCTCTGATCTAGTCCTCTCCTTTTCTTCCGTGCTTGTTCCTCCAAATTTAACCTACTTTTAATCCTATATATTTGACCGACCTCCTTGGCATCTGTTCAACTGCTGGTGACATAAATGGCTGTATGTACTTGCATTTAGCGAACACATACATGCAATTACTGTTATATTTGTCGCATATATGTAATTATGTGTATACTTACTGGACTTTTCTCAAGTTGCTTTTGAAGTTTTGAGACTTTTGACACACTAAACATCTTATTCACTTGCATTCATCCTGTATTTTTCATCTCTATTTGTAGAATTGCAAGTAGTGTTTGCAGAGGTGGTTGTGTTTGCTGATGTGTGGCTTCTAACTCTCGCTAGTGGCGGCTTGGCACTGGTGCTTAAGCGTTTTACCTTTGAACTAGACAACAACCCTCTTCTTTCACAAAGTTATATCCAACAATTTTTTTAGGATCGGTGAAAATTTTAGTTTTGATTATTGGGATTCAGTGGATATTGTAATCATCAACCCTATTAGTATTTGGAAGTTCAAGTGTGGGTTTGGCGCACTTGAGATGACAAATGACTATAATTCTTGCTGGATCTGAGTTTGTTGGAAATCCTCGTTCCGAAAAAGATTTGACCAGAAACGTAATTACTCTTGTAGTTATCATAGGCTCAAGCGCTCTAAGGCACCTAGGTCTTGGGAGCCTAAACCCAAGGTGCAACATTAGGCAGGAGCATGATCGAACTAAGGCGTCTGTAAGATAAAAAGGTAAGGAATATTAAGTATTACTTTAGGAGGAAAAATTAATGGTATTTGTAACGCAAACTAGTCAATATCAAAATAAAGTTCCTCAACATATTAATTCATTAGATTAGGTAAATGGATATAAATATATATATATATATATATATATGCATGTGAATTTAATCAATAAATATTGGTTCACTTCAAGATGCAAGAAAACTAATAAAACACACACTGACCTCTCCTCTCGCTAAAAAGAGATTTCCTCAAATGGGTGTTAAATTACATTGAACTCTCCCGCCTTCCAAATAAATAAATTTAAATTTGCTTGTGCTGGTAACATTAAATTTCTCATATAATTAGAAGGCAAACCATTTCTTATATTATTAAATTTGCTTGTATTTATGTTTGCATGTGCTTATCGATATAAATTTAGGCATGCTTGTTCCAGAAACAATGCTTTGTTTGTTATGGCTTCACTGTTGTTCCTGGAAGTGGATTGAGTTTATTTCTTGATCTTATTGAAACATTAGTATTCTCACTTTGTATTTGACCTGTATCTCTTTCTTGGTGGCAGGTTGTGCACCTTTGCATCATGCTCCTATTGCACCTGTTTGATACTGCTTCTGCCTCGTATTCAGGCTGCTTAGAACACTAGTACATTGTGTTCATGTCGTGTGAGGACATGGATATCACGATTATTATTACACGGGTAGCATGACACAACATACGTTTAATAAATAATTCTAGACACAACACGGCACGTTTAAGTAATTTTCTTACAAGAATATGGTACATTTATTAATGTAATACAGATGGTTCAATGTTCTATATCTTCTCACCCGGATGATTAAGGCAAGTCTTAGGTGTCATTTGGGCAAATTCAATGCTTGAAATGAAGTTATTAGATTAAGGTTTAGTTGTTTTTGATATAATTGTTATGTGTCTATGCTATTTAAATATATTATCTCGTTTTTCCATTAATGGTCGTCACTTCAAATTTTTTTTCACATTCTCATTTGTAATTTTTTTTTTTTTGTTTTTTATAACCACTGGGCTATTAATGTACCAGCAATATCCAGTGAACAGCGTCTGATTTTTTGAGCGTATGTGCTCGTGTTCAAATCATTCCTGCCCTTTCTTTTTCCTGCTAGATTAATGTATCATTACATTATCACTGTTCAAATATTTATTAAGTAAACATTTCATATACTTTATATTATATCAATTAATTTTCATACATTTTAATTCTAAGGCTCATCGCTCGAAAGTTCCCACTTTGAACTATTGGTATTTAGCTTTTAAAGGACTGGGAGCTATTTCACCCTTTTTTAACCTAAGATTATCTTCGAAACGTGGGAGAATTAAACATTACCTCTCACATCACATGGGGGTAAAAAAACTATGAAAACATTTATAGGCATGCATAATTATCGAAATAGTTAAATAAATTTATAACTAGTACAGTTACAAATAAAATGGTAATAGGATAAAATTTTGATCACTCAAATATTCTCTCATGGAAAAGAAAAGAAAAAATTTGTGGGAAAGTAATTTTTCATAACCATCAAACTTACCCAAAAAATTTTCCGACAAAAACCACAATAAAATTTTGTTTTCTGAAGTGGAAAAATATGATACTGTATTGATGAAGATTATATATGAGAAGGTTTGGAGGTAGGTGAGTGATGAACAAGTAACTTATATAGATACTAATGTGGTAGGTGTAATCATATATGATAATTTGTAGTATGCAAGAAATCTATGTGATAGGTAAAGGAATAAACTTGTAATCTAACAGTCCCCTCAAATTCAAGGTGAATATGAACTCTACTTGAGATTGAAGGCAAAAAGTTGATGGAATTTTGGTGGGGATGGGTGTTCACCCACGATGGAGATGGAGGCATGATTAACAGCTGAAATGGTAGGTGATGTGACACTACTGTTGGCACCGCTGCTGACTGTATCTGACAACTGACGTGCCAAGTGATGTGACACTACTGCTGACTCTATTGCTGACTATATCTGACATGGCAATTATCGTGACAGGTGAAAGTAACAATACTTTGTTTATTATGGCTTCACTGTTGTTTGTGGAAGTGCATTGAGTTTATTACTTGATCTTATTGAAACATTAGTATTCTCTCTTTGTATTTGACCTGTATCATTTTCTTGTTGGCAGGTTGTTTGATGCTGCTTCTGCCTCATATTAAGGCTGCCTAGAACACTAGTATATGACTGTTTTAGTAACAAGCAAGACCTCAAATTGTTGAGATTATTATGGTTTTTGAAGTATCTTGATGTTGCAGACTGACTTATGGTATCCGGTTAGGGGGTGACAATTTGTATTGGTAGACCGTGTTCTATGAGTATTATATTATATGGATTACATGACACAATTATTATTACATGAATAACACGACAAGTTTAAGTCAATTTTTTTTAACAAAAATATGACACGTTTAGATCCCTATCAATGGGGACGCGTTAATATGGTGTTGAATGTTCTGTATGCTTCTCACCGGATGATTAATGGAGAGTCTTAGGTGTCATTATGGTTTGGTCAGTTTTGACATAATTGTCGTCTAATCTATTCTATGAAAACTAATTTCTATTTTTATGGGTGCAAGTTTAAATATATTATCTCGTTTTTCCATGATTGTACTTCAAATTTTTTTTCACATTCTCATTTGTAATCCTGTTTATTTATTATTATTATTATTTTAACCACTAGGTGGTATCCACTGAAGAGCCTCTGACTTATGTGCTTGTGTTCAGACCCTCACTCCCTTTTCTTTTTCCTGCGAGATGAATGGATCATTACATTATTACTGTTCAAATATTTATTAAGTATACATTTCATATCACATGGGGGTAAAAAAACTGCTTGAAAACATTTATAGGCATGCATAACTATCCAAATAGTTAAATAAATTCCTAAATAGTAAAGTTACAAATAAAATTGTAATATGATCCCATCCCATAGATTTATTTATTGGTATTTCCCATATAAATATTTGGTTTATTTGGTTTACATTATTGTGTTTCTTATTAATTGTTATTTGTTGCATCATCAAAATGATTTTCAGAAACAATTCCTGCGTTGTGACTTGGTTCATTAAGAAATTTACTTCGCAACTACACATTGTCATAAATGGTGGTTAGAGTATGACAAACCCAATCTTACAAGGAAAGAGAAGATCATTGGTTTGTCTTCTTTACCTTTTTCCAAACAAGAATAGACGTTATTGCTATCATTTCTTTCGTATCTTATCGACAAGCAAATGATTAAGCTATTGTTTATGTCATCCTTCATTTACTTTCCATCCTATTTATCCAAAGAAAGCCCAAGAGTTCTTCTGACAATGGTTTTTTTAGGGGCACAGAAAGGAGATCCCGAAAATGACTCTCTGGAATAATATGCATCGCACAGACGAAGAGTATTCTAAAGAAGAAAAGAAAAATCAACGGGATTTGTCTGGATGGTCATGGATGCCCCTAGAGAGGGATACTCCATTATCATCATCAAATAAGTTCAGGTCTATAGTTTTTTGTGCTGTAAACGGCACTGACAGACCTTATAGTCATAGCTTCAGCTGGTTCTCCATTGACTTCAAGGAGAACCAAAATTCTTCTTCATTAGCTTCTACCGTATGTCCTCATCAGGATTGTGGGACCACCTTGTCTCCTGTTTTCAGTAATATGCCGAGAAATGTTCCCAGATTTTTCGTTGCAGTAGCCTTAGGCACCTGAATTTACGCAATTGGTGGTTGTGACGGTCATGGCTTGAAAATGTGGAACTATTCTGATGTATTCTATTTTGGTGTTGTTCATCCTGATCGAACAAGGTTGGAAGCAAGGCCCTTCCATGTTAATGGCCCGATATATGGCGTCTGCTGTCGTGGTTGACAGTAAGATTTATGTCTTTGGGGGCGTGGAATCTAGGGGGATGCTGTTTGCAGAGGTCCTATGACTTGTTGAAGCGGAAATGGTTCTCAAAGCCTCTCAGGGGTCTTCCAAGGGAGGATATGCCCCCCCACCATGACCGCCCGGTTTCCTTATTTCATATAGGCGGTGATAGACTCTGCTTATTTTGGTCTGCGTTTTCTTCTGATGGCCGCAGAAAAATCAGTCAAGTTGAGCAAACAGTGTCCCTGGTGGTTGCCGTTTGCACTGTATTCACAGTTCAGAAAGATTACACTCTCCACGGTGAAGAGCCTGACTCAATAGCTAATATCGAGTCTGTGACACGCCATTATGCTGAGGGCAAACATTGCGCATGTTGCATTGCTCTATAGGTACATTTATTGAGACCTTCATGCATTGTTTTTTTTTTTAATGCTTTTGCCCGCCATTTGATCTTGTTTGTTTGTGTCATTGTCTGATATGTGTAACTTGAACCCATTACGTGCTATCAGCATCAATTTTGTCAGATTTAATTTTAGCCATGCGTTGAAGTAGATTTTTTTTTAGAATGAGCTTTCTTGAATAAACATACATATCTTAGCGGATACTCATTTTAGGGTACATGATGTTTTGTATTTGGCCATAGTCAATTTACAATATGTGTTTATGGTCTATTGGCTTTTCTCAGTCTTTTGGTTTGTTTATGAATAAGCATTATATTTGAAGCATTTCTACTTTAAAAAAAAAAAAACAATAATAAAAAAAAAAAATACATATATATATATATTTGAAGCATCTCTGTGTTAATGTGTTACATCTCTTCCTCTTGTTTCTTAATGAGGTCAATTGCAAATGCATGTGCTTTTATTTCTGTTCTTTCCAAGGCAAATCATTCGATTGTTACGTGCGAATTGAATTATCAATAATGACCTCAGTTAAATGACTTCATTATGGAGATCTTGTGGAGAGCTTTCATCTCATAGTCTATCCCTAGAAGATCCCTTTCTTCTCTGCTTGTTCCTCCAAAGTTCTTACATTTAACGAACACATACATGCAATTACTGTTATATTGTAGCATATATGTAATTATGTGTCTACGTATTGGAATTTTCTGAGGTTGCTTTGGAAGTTTCGAGTCTTTTGACACACTAAAAATCTTATTCTTTTGGATTCACCATGTATATTCATCTCTATTTGAATAGCATTCACAAACTAGTACTATCAGTTCATGGTTTTCAGAGCTGTCATTTCAAGGAATATTAGTAAATCTATTTATAAAATTTCAGTTCCTGTAAAATTGCAAGTAGTGTTTGCAGAGGTGGTTGTGTTTGCGACTTATGTTAATTAGTTACCAAATTTTCGATTTAGAATTATTTGTTTCTGCAAAACGAGTTCACCTAGTTCACCGAGATCCCGCTACCACCGGCGATCATATTACGTTGTTCTAGTCCCACTACAGTAGGGTACTGGGAGGGGAGGACTTGAGACAGACTTAACCTTTGGTATTTCATAAAGTGGCTGTTGTGTGGCTTCTAACTCGCACCAGTGGCAGCTTGGTGCTGATGGTCAAGCGTTTTACCTTTGAACTCCCTCTTTTTTTTAAAAAACTCAAATTCAGCAAGAATCGTAGTTATTTGTCACATTCACGTGCCCCATTCTGACCAGTGAAAAACCTACACTTAAACTTCAAATAATACTAGGGTTGATTACAATATAAACTGAATCCCAATAACCAAAATTAGTCTTGGGAGCCTAAACACAAGGTGCAACATTAGGCAGGAGCATGATCGAACTAAGGCACATGTATGATAAAAAGGAATATTAAGTGTTAGTTTAGGGGAAAAATTAATAGCATTTGTAACACAAACTAGTCGTTTTCAAAGTAAAAAAAGTTCTTCAACATATTAATTCATTCGATTAGCTAAATCGATATAAACATATATGCATGTGAATTTAATTAAATCAATATGTAGTGGTTCACTTCAAGATATGCAAGAAAACTAATGAAAACACATAGATCTCCCCTCTCGTTAAAAGAGATTTCCTCAATGCGTGTTAAATTACATTGACCTCCCTTGTCACATGTTGTCATTGGAAATCATAAAGCATCTGTGTAACTATTACACCTAGTTTGATACTGCTTCTGCTCCTTTTTCAGGCTGTCTGGAACACTATTATATAACTTTTTTTAGTAATAAACAAGACCCAAATTGTTGAAATTGTTATGGTGTTAAGCTTTTAGTTGCATGTATCCTGATGTTGTAGACTTATTAATGGTATACAAAAAAATGGCAATTCATGTTCTTGGGTCGTGTCGTGTCAGGACATGGTATAATGTTATATGGGTTGACACGAACACGACGTGATTATTAATATTGTTAAAAAACCTTGACACGGAAATGACACAAATATTACACGGGTAAACATGGCACGGCACGACACGTGTAACTCGTTTAATAAATAGGTCAAAACTTGACACAACATGACAAAACACATTTAAGCTATTTTTTTCAAGAACACTGACACGTTTAGATCTAGCATCAATGGGGACGCATTAATATGATACAGATGCTGTTC